TCCGGCAAAATCCCACAAACCAAACGGAACATTAGCCTTTTTTCATAGTTTCACATGTAACCATATCCTTGAGGGTAGTTCCATGTCTAACCCTAGTTCAACGGTCATAAAGTTCGTGTGAAAGAGTTTATAAAAAGTAACGTCTGAGCCGACTCAAACCGATCTAAAAAGTAAATCAGGTACCCAATGATTTGCTAAAAAAAAGTTTATAAAATTATGTGAAGAGAGCAAGTCCACATGATAGGTATGGCTGGAATGAGTATGATCCCTCAAACCAATTATCAACTATCTTCTGTACTTCATGGTCCACACACCTCTTTTTCTACACATTATTTTCTTTATTTCTTTCTTTACGAGAATTAAAATTTTCTCTATAAACTACAAGGGTGGTGTCTAATTGGTTTAAACTTGGCTTCAAAGGTCAAAAGTACCAGGAGATGCCTGGTTCAAATCCAAGTAGGAATAAATATCCTCTTGTGGCCACGAAGGTTCAAATGTGGTGACTTCGGGCTATCTGCAAATCATGTGGTCGCCCTGGGATTAGTTAGCTCACATAGCGGGTTGAATATCCAGGTTAATCAAAAAAAATTCTGTATAATTATCAAATTTTATTTATGTAATATTTATCTGATCTTTAGATGTCATCGTAAATGGTAAAAGTCTTACTGATAATAATACTTGGGTAAACACCCGGATGCAAATGTTGTTAGGGACGACGGTAAACACCCGCTCTCCATCCCTAGGTATTGAGAACACGGTTCTAGTCGAGATTTGTGAGCTCAACATTATAGGATGAGTGTATTAGGGTTTTTTTTTTTTTTTGGAATTCTTTTATAGACTTAAAAAACAAGATGGTAAAATGACAAGTTTACCCTCTTGTGATGCTAGTTAACAGCCGGAAGTTAGCATATGCCAGCGGAAAAGAGCAAATCCGATACCCAATATGACAACTTGAGATAACAAACCATAAGGACTAAGTCCGTAATTTACTCTAATATTTGTACTAGAAAGTGATGATCCACTATTGTCATTAATTAATGAATTTGTAGGCTCGGTTCCTACCGGATGCATGTTAATAGGAACTTTTTTTAAAATTCGATAAATGTTGGTTAATCGTATATTTCATTTGAAATATAAATATATGAATTTTTAAAATAATATTTAAGGTCTATAATATTTTTTTGCATTATAAAATCGAATAAGAAGTGGCAACAAATTGTTATTGATGTCATTGCAACTTAAAATTTGGTATTAAATTATCTTTTAAAAAAAAATACCTCATAAAATTCCAAAACAGTATTTACGCTTTTAAATATTTTCACATCGTGTTTATATCAAGGTTTAAAAAATTAATCAAATAAATTAAACTAGAAAATTAAAATTTTATAATATCTAGCTTGAAACTCATATATATATATATATATATATATATATATATATATATATATATATATATATATTCTTACACCTTTATGCCTGGGTAACTTCTATATTCTACCAAAACATGTATAACATGTTTGATGTCGTTATCGTACGAAATTAATGAAAGCCGACATGTTTTCCACCTATTGTTGTTATATCTCTTTCTTGGGACATATAACCTAATCAATAATGTCAGGGGTTTACATTGCCTAGACACGTATAATCAAACCTGCATATGTAGGGGTATCTCATCTCTATAAAGGCCTTTTTAAGAAAAGAATCAAAGAGGTTTCACATATTATATCATGGTATTAAAACCAAAGTATAACATATCCCAATGACTCAACACGCACTTTCTCCTCCGTTCGAGTAGATGTGTTAAAGTCCTAAACACAAAAACACCAAATTTGCATATATGTATAAGGGATATTTTGGAGAAAATGTAAACGGGGTTCACACATCCTAACACAGCTAAGGTCTAGCAACACTGAGTATTGCGGATACCGTCTAGCCTCCATTTAAAGAAGTGTGTTAAAAGCCTATTTGATCTAGACTCAGACCATCAATCATGCATATATGTAGGATCGTATTCTCTCTTTATTGTGGTTCTTAAAGGGGAGAATCAAATCTAATTATGTTTTATATTTTCTATTTAGTGTAACTACTGATTTTGTAACCCAATTAATATAACAAATATTCGGTTCTTGTTTTGTAAACATTTCACCTGATAAACAAATCTGCAGTATATACAACATCAACTGATTTTGATGTTATTTCTCCATCTAATAAGTTAATTAAAAATAACTTGACAACATGACATCTATATGATTAATAATTACAAGATCTATCGGTTATCGATCAAATTAATAAAATAAGAATAAGCGAAGTATTCATTTATTACGTTAATTAAGAGAAAAAATTTATCTTTCTTTCTTTATAATTGTATTCATTTTACTCCTTTTTTTTTGTGTAAGGGTGTCCAGGCCAAAGCCCGACTAATCCCCGGCAAATTTGGAGGCTAAACATGGCCCCACTTAAATGTCGCCAACACTCCCCTCCCGGGGCTCGAACTCGGGTTCATGACTATGTCATGCCCAAGCCTTTACCACTAGGCTGGAAGGTCTTTGACCATTTTACTCCTTTTTACAGGTGTTAAAAATAACTGAAGCCCGATAACTCATCCGAACCAAATGAGATTTGGGTTAAACGATTCGGTTAACCGAATAAGTATCCTTATTGGGTTCGATTTTCGGTTAGTTTTTTTCTAATTCAGTTAAACCGACTAAACCAGATAACAAATTCTACTAATGTCTTGTATATTTCATGATTATAAAAACAAACCAAATATATATCATACAATTATTATTTTATATATTTTTTATTGTTATATAATGTTTTTTGTTCGATGAGTAGATAATATTTTTTGTATTAGATTATGTTTTTTTAGTTGATGTAGAATGTCGCATGAATAAATAATGTTTTTTGGTAGATGATATTTTTTCCTAAATGTAAGTCAATTGTTGAATATAAATGTATAATACACTTATATATTAGATGCAATAGACACTAAGATGGTGTTTGTTTTTTCAGATGTGCTGAAGTCTGAAGTCTTATTTCACTTATGATTTATAAGCGGTAGTACGGAAGTCTGAAATCTGAATCAATAAGATTTTTTATTTTTGTAAACTAATAAACGTCTGAATTTATTTAAATTGTCTATTTTACCCATTAAATTGGACCTTATTTGTTTTGGTTATCAGTTAATTTTAAATGTTTTCAAAACCGAATAAAACGGAATTGAATAAACTTAAAACCGGAATAAGATCCCTACTTTGTATTTAGTTGTATCGTGAAAGTTTATTACACTAAATTAGAAAAGAATATATATATCAACGCATTTTCAGGTTTGCAAAATCTTTTGAAATATGGATGGAAGTGACAAGATATGAAGTCATCATAAAGAAAGAGACAATACGATGAAAATAAATATTTTAAAATAAAATAGATGTGAGATCTTTTAGATAGCATATATATATATATATATATAGATGAAAATAAATATTTTAAAATAAAATAGATGTGAGATCTTTTAGATAATATATATATATATATATATATATATATATATATATATATACACACACAAATTAACGAAGTATGGTGTGAGAATAGGAGTTAAATGAAAAGTATAAGAAAGGTTTTGAACTCTTGATCATTTTTAATATTAAATTAACTTATAAATTACGCTTTAAAATAGAATTGATTCAATAATTCTCATTAGTGTTGATCTATAGAACTTTTTAATTAATCAAGATTGATCAAATAGTGGAGATTTCATTTTACCTTTCTCATTATTATAACTCTCATTTTCGCCAACATGTTTTCGTAAGATCACAAAATAATATTGAAACTTAATGGCAAAACAATGTAAAGCTACACAAAAATAAGAAATCTTCAAAGCAAAAAAAAGCACTGTAAATATAAACCTTCACAGTGTTTTTGTGAAGTTTCAGTGTTATTTATATGATCTCACGAAAACAGTCTAGTCTCACATGACCCCAAGTTTATATATAGAGGTGCTTAATCATTTAAAAACTCTAAAATTTGTGAGATTCTTGAGAACTTCTACCTTTAAGGTTTTGTTTCACATGATTGTTTTTAAGTATGCTATTTAGTGTATTAATTAATATATATTTGTTTCACAATATGTTTGTTTCATATATGTTCGGTTTACAATATATAACCTTTTTATGTGTACTTATTCTTTCACAAACATGTCAAAAAAGTTCACATTGTAAACCAAGTACATGTGAATCAAATACATATTAATCAATTTTCTAAATTCTAGTTTTAGATGAAAAAATCATATGAAATTATACATGGTGCACAAATTTTCTAGGTTATTACAATTTCATGAGTTCATAACAGGTCTCATATATATATATATATATATAGAGAGAGAGAGAGAGGTTCAAATGAAAATCGATTTTCGGTTATGAACAGGGGGACAAATGAGAGCGTGACACGTGTTTACGGCGTCCACATTCAGAATGAATAACGAAAGTGAAGTTCATGAAATATTCATGATGAACGATACAACACTCATGATAATTAATACACGATCATGATTCTTGTTAAATTGTTTCACTATTCATGATGAACAATAGACATTCCTCATGAATGATACATTATTCACGATGAATAACCTACGAAGGTTTGAGGTGTCGCGATCTACTTTGTCCTCTGGTTCACAACCGAAAATTGGTTCTCCTTTGAACCCACCCCTATATATAATTATATATATATATATATATAGGGTTAGGTTCAAATAAAAAATAAAGTAAATGGGAGAAGCGTAAAAAAAGTTCTCCACCCTCAGATGCACATTAGAATGAGATACATTAGATCAATTCTCTTCTAAATCGAAATTCATTGATGGACATGAGATTAAAAATGAAAAGTGTTCAAATATCTTCTTAGATTTCTTAGTGTACATTCCTTTCTCACACGATATTTTGCATGCACGCTCTCTCCCTTTATATATTATTTATGTGATAAGATAGTGGGAATGGTATGTCTCAAAAAGATAGATAAGGTAACAAAAATCTCCCAAGCCAGTAAGAGAAGGTAGCACCTACCTACCAATAGTGGTAATAGTACGTAAGGTCAGCCTTACAATATAGAAACGCATCCTTATCTATATATATCTTCCCTACCAACATCAACATTAAACACCTATTTATCACATTTTTAATGCAAATGCAAATAACCCTACTCTTATATAATAATATTAATTTTAGGGTTTGGGAGTGGGAGTGGGATCGGGGATGGGGTACTTGATGGCGTTAAGACGGATCTTACGGAGAGCAGCTTGACCCAAATCGATGCCGCAGATGTCAGAGAGACGAACAAGATAAAGCAAGACGTCGGATAGCTCTTCACCCAGGTGCACTTTCTCTTCTTCTTTCCAATCTGGTAGTCCCTTTGCCACCTCCCCTTTCCATTGAAATATCTCTGACAATTCCCCAACTTCTCCCACCTATCAATACCCAACACTCACTCTATTAAACCCCTATCTGGAATCATGCCATTCCTCAAACTATATCTAAATCTTATAAATTTAGACCCGTTTAAATATATTAATAAATAAAAAAGAAAATTACACCAAAATTAAACCAACTTTCACCTTATTCTTATTTTGGGGAACCAACTTTTAAAATCGTCATTTAGGGGTCTCTATCAAACTTTTTGTTTATTTAAGAGTCTGATTGATCTGTTAAACATGTAACAAGTAATTTAAGGGTCTTTATCAAACTTTTGGTTTGATTTGCCAAATTTGATTTAAACTTTAATATTGATACAGATTGGTTAGATATAAAAATTTTGAATGCGATATTTAATATTTATTTTTATTGCATTAATTAATTTTTTTCTATTAAATTGATTTTTTTATTGCATTAGTAAAAAACAATTTTTATTGTGGTAATTTTGATTTTATTTAAAAATCTTAAATTTGATATCTGAATTAAAAAAACAAGATTTGAAATTAAAAATAGATTTTATTGCATTAATTTTTGAAAAAAAAAACGAATTTTGGTTATTTTTCTATAATTATTTTACAAATTGGTTCCCTAAAATAAGAATCAAGTACAAGTTGGTTCCTCAAAATGACGATTTTGAAAGTTGGTTCCCCAAAATAGGAATCAGGTGCAAGTTGGTTCCTCAAAATGACGATTTTGAAAGTTGGTTCCCCAAAATAGGAATCAGATGAAAGTTGGTTCCATTTTGATGCAATTTTCCCTAAATAAAACTAATTAAATATAAAACTTTTATAAAATTTTATAAATTTGAAAATGACTAGATATAAAAAAAACCTTTGAGAAAACATGTATAGTTACCAAGAACCTCTAGAAATAAGCAAATTGTAGATGCTCTATAAGTTGAGTAAGTTTATGCTGAACTTTGAAATTAAAAATCTATACTAATTTATCACGTGTAACAAATTAATAATTTATAAAATCAATAATTTGTGCCATATTTATTTTATCAAATCAAATATGTCTTTAGTAGAACGGACCACCGTCCAAGCCATGAAAGCAAATATGTCCTTATTCGATTTAACAGGTCGGAAATTGTTATCCAATCTCAAATAGTTTTGGACCACACCCATCTCCAAGAGAGTAGGTGTAATATTTTATTCTAATTATTGTATGACAAGAATCGTGTGATAAAGATAATTAAGATGAGAAGCGTAAGAGATGATTTGTACTGTTGATTACTTTTAATTTCAAACTCACTCGGTACATCTCATCCTGATATACGTCAAATGATAAAAGATTTCTTCTTACGCTTTTCGTATTAACCCTTATTTTCATCATAACTTAAAAGACGGGTTATTTAGTGCTTTCTATTTAATCATATGAAATTGCTTTCTGTTTAACCATGAAAGAGTATATAAAGCAAGTCAATCAACCAACCCCTCGTTTCTCTTTTAGTAATCTATTAAATACTTTTTTAATGATTATTCTAAATTTTTAATTAATATCAAATTCTTATTTAATTATATATCAAACAAACTTGATATATTATATAAAACTGTAATCATTTTAACAAAAATTTGCCTACACAATTAATAATCACATTACATGTCAAATGTTGAGTCCACTTTAAAATCAGTTTATTTTTATAAAATTCATAAGACCATAAAACAATATTGCAACTTTACACCAAAATCTTATAAAGGTACAAAAAACATACAACTTTCACAACAAAAACAATATGAAAATTTTGGGAAATTGAATAAAAAAGTAACGTATTTAACTTGGTTCCTATTTCGGGTAACGTATTTTCAGAACTTCCATTTTTATACATAAGATGTAAAGTTTTAAACATTTAAGTAATTATTAATAATATAACATGTTGAAGCATTAACTTGTTTTAATATAACAATATTGTACATATTATAGTAAATTATGATGTGATTAATAATAATCAACTAGATAAATAATCCAAATAATGTCAATTCAATGTTTAAAGTTAAAATAAAACAACAAACATGCATAATATGAACTAAAATAATTATAATTTATAAGTAGATCTTTTGCAATGAAATCGACATAAAATAAGTAAATTTTGATTCTATGTTATTTTCCGAATATTTAAATCAATCTTATGGATCATATTCTAACATATGAGCTTTCACTTCAAATCTGAATCTTCTTTAAAACGTCAACTAGATAGTAACAGAATACAAAAGAAATCGAAAAACGAAAATCCAAAATGACTGTAATTCTTCAGGATGCCATAACATTTTTTAGAGAAATTAAAGTAACAAGTGTTAAATCTGTGTAAGTTGAAAACATGAATTTACTCGATGTATTGATTGAAATTGATGCATCAAAATTTGAAAATACTCCATATGTTTCCAGATAAAACGGAAAAATCGACTAAAATTTGTGATATGTGAGAGATCTACATGATGATCACACATCGATAATCAAATATTGTTCAAAGGATGATCGTCGGAAAACAGCATAATCATGTACGGTTTAACACAGTCGCCGGAGAATCTATATACACGACTCAAAATATTACACACTTACACACATTCACAAACTGACAACGGAGAGCAACGAAAAACATATAGAGAGAAAGAAGGAGAGGTACAAGTGTAGAATTACCAGTGCCAATAGCAGATTTCTAGGGCTATGATGTCGTTCCCAATCTCGCTCCTGAGCGAAATCATGCATTTTCTGCTTCAATACTTTCAACGTCACAGTCTCATCTCCTTCCAAAACCTCCGTCATCTCTGCGAAAACTGAAATCAGTAATCTAACTCTTAAGGCGTTACAGAAACCAGAGGAAATCGGGAGGAAATATAACAGAAACACCTCTCCATATATATGTATATGTATGTGTATATATATAGAGAGTGTGAGACAGAATCATCTTATTTTATAGCCCATATTTAATTTCCTTCTTTTCCCCCTTTTTTTCTCCTTCGTACGTTTTACTTCATTTTTTTAATGGATTAATTCAAGCATTAACAAACAACACCCTCCAACTATTCATATACTCACTTCAACCCCATATACTTCATTTAGAGTAAATTACAGTTTTAGTCCCTTGTGGTTTTCAATTTACTGTTTTCGTCCTTATGGTTCATAACCATTGTTTTTTTTTTTTTTTGTCCCAAAGGTTAATCAGAAGTCCTACCTTAAGTATGAGGGACGAAAACAACAAAAAATTATAAACCACATGAAGAAAACAATAATAAGTTGTAAACAAAGTTGTTCCTTAACATGTTAAATATGAGATTTTAAACAGAGTCTCCAAAATTTTGGGGTTCAATTTTGCATATGTTTAGTGATTTTCATCAATCTATGTAAAGTTTTAGCCCAAATTGTTTAGATTCAAATTGTTAATTGCTTAGGTTTAGATTCAAATTATTAATGGTTTAAGTTAGTTCAGATGCTTGATCGTTTAAAATTAGCGTCCTTTTGTGCTTAACATATATATATTGTTGTTATCTCTTATGCAATGTCATCAAAAAGTTCTGGATGTAACAAGGCCTCTAAAAAGATTGGAACGTCCCTGATTGTAAACCATAAAAACGAAAACAATGATAAATTGTAAACCATAAGGATAACAATCATACTTTTAAAAGCACGTCTGATAAACTAGCAATTTTTAACAAACCATAGGGATGAAAAATAAAAGTTACTTCTTTTTTTTAATCTAAAATAGTACATAGCTATTTTGCTTTTTTTTTTTTAATTTAAAGTTCGAGTGTTTACATTTACAATGAGATAGTATCAAGAGTTTGTAATTTGATTATCAAACAAATATAAAAAATCAGTATTCTGCTTTTTTCTTCATAATATTTGGTATAAATGAATATGGGTGCAAAACTTGCGGCCTAATCTAATTGACCATTTTGAATGGTTTAGTGGTATTGGTACGGAGGTACTTATTTTCTTGACATTTGGTGGTTAACAGAGCAAAACGAGTTGAGTTGAGTTGAGTTGAGTTGAGCTCGAACTCAACAAAGTTAGGTTAAACACAGATTCAATTCGGTACTTTGAGGCATCTTCTTAATGTAGGATTGAGCTTGATTAAATGGCTTTAAAAGGCAAGCTTGATTCGAAAGCTCTTATTGCTCAAAGTTAAAAACTTGATTCAAGCTGAAACTAAAGGTTTATTTGATTTGAAGAATTACTAGAATCTAAATGAGCAAATTTTGTTGAATACAGGGTTGGGTTACGTGAGGTCGGCTTGTTTTCATGAGACTCCATGAGACCACAAAATAACATTGAAATTGTACAACAAAACATTGTGAATGTACGAAAAACACTGAAACTTCAAATCAGAAACTATGAAAAAAAGAGGTATTTATGAACTTCAATTCCGTTCCATTGTTTTTGGATCCACCTTATATTATTTACCTGGCTTTGTCCTTATTTCCAGATGGAACTGAATTGAACTTCATAGAAAAAAAAAAAGATGTATTTTTTACACACTGTGGACAGAATTGAAAGAAAGAGGTACTTTTTTTACATAAAGTCTTGTTGTGAAAGTTTGATGTTATTTTTGTAATCACACGAATACAGACTGGTTTCAAATAGTCCCAAGTCTACTAATACATATATAAAAAAAGTTTAATTTTTTTTTTCAAATTTAGTTTGGGAAAAGTTCAAAAATCCAACGAACCTTCTTATTTTAAATGATTAAGTATCTAAACTATTTTTTTGAATGAAAAATCATTAAACTTTCTCATTTTGAATGATTAAGTCCCTAAACATTTTTTTGAATAAATAAATCATCGAACTTTTAGAAATTGGTTACGTAAATCTTTTTAACAAAAAAAAATTACATGTAATTGACTATGAATGTTTTAAAGTAAAAAAAAAAACCTAAATAAGTTCTACCTTTCTCAAACCTTGCACAATTAAAACCCCTCACAAACAATGGTATTGCTCCCCCTTGCCACTGCCTATTGCCCCATTATTGTTCGTTCTCCATATCCCCTAACACGTTGTTGGAGACTGAGATCGATCTCCCTCTTTTGGTCCACTTTTTATCTATCGAAATAGGGAAATCAAAAGATAAAACACGTATCAAAAAAGGAAGATCGATGGTATGGGCAACAACGTGATAGACCTAGACAATGATGGAGCGAAAAGGAGTGATGATGGGGAGTGATACCGGTGTTTGTGTAGAGTTTGAACAACGTAGGGTTTAGGAATGGGAAAACCGATTTAGGTTTATTTTTACTTTAAAACCTTCTTAGCTGGTTACATATAGTTTTTTAGGGTTAAAAGAATCTAAGTAACTTAATCATTCAAAATTAGAAAGTTCAATGGTTTGTTCATTCAAAAAAATAACTCAGAGACTTAATCATTCAAAATAAAAAATGTAATAATTTTTTCAATCAAAAAAATAAATTTTAAATGAGATAATTTGTTATATTTTTTTAAAACTTCTTCAATTTAGTTTTTATAAACTTGAATATATTGAGAGTGGCATCAATTCTCGAGGTATTCAAAGAGTCACGTTTTGATGTTTGGTAGAAAGAAAGAGGTATGGTAAAAAAAGCATGGCCAATAAATGGGGGCATACTTACACGTTTTGTGTTGGGGGCGGGGGGTGGCGTAGGGGATGGGTCACTAAGGGGCCATTTACCACACATTTATCTGGTAAGTGATTATCGGTAAAATTTAACATTATTAATTACTTATCGGGTAAGATTTTAGTCCATCAAAACAACATTGTATGCAACAATTCACCTGGTAAGCGCTTACCATGGTAAGAGTCGATCGCTCTCACTTACCTGGTAAGACTCATGGTCCTTGTCTCGCTCTTACCGGGTAAGATTCTTAGTTCTTACCATATTCATCTGGTGAGGTAATGTGACTTGGTAAGTGCTTACCCAAATAAGTGTTTAGTAAACGGCCCCTAACTTTGGTTGGAGATGTGTTTGTGTCCAGTGATGCTCATGGGTTGGGTTGATTGAGTTGAAAATATTTGAATACAAGATGATTTTGTATCTATCAATTTCTTCCTCATATACATGAGTATTAATATTTACTTTTTTTACATTTTTAATACATGATTTGATCTGATTTTAACATAAAAAAATACATACAACATTACCAATAGAAAAATGGAAACATGGATTCTTACTTCCATCATAAATAACCCTGGTTGCTTTGTATCTTTCACAGTTTTACTTTCACATTTTTACCCATTGTACTTTTTTATTCAATAACATTCCTACATCTAAATATCTTTTTCTTTTTCCTTTGTTTCATTTAAAGAGACTGTTATTTATAATCGTCTTAAAATAGAAGAGGTTTTGATTTACAATCGATTTGGTTCTCAAACTACTCATCAAATAGTGTAACCGAGCACAGTGAGACCCACACTAAAAAAAGTGTAGACGTCAACCTCGACGAGAACCGCATTGGTTGTTATTAGAACCGTATTTATACTTGTATAGTTCATTTGATAGCAACGGTATATGGTAGTTGTGGTGGACATTGACGTATGATAGCATTAGTAGCATCTGAAGTATAAATGATTGTACAGAGTGAGTTAATGACACAATAAATGATTCTATGACATTCACATCTCAGTTTCATAATATGGTATCAGTGAACATTATGTTCCCTTCTTTTTTTTCAATCTCCGTTTGATCCTTTATCAATCTGATCTAATTTGTTATTCGATACTTTGATTTGATCTTTGGTAGGTCAATTTTTTTTGTCCCGGTTGAAATTCCCGAAATCTCATTCAATTTGAAGTTTTAGGGTTCATTCCAACTGGAATTTCATATCTGAAACGGTTGAAATGCCTAAACTATCGACTAATCGTGTCATTGCCATGGTGGAGGATGATGATCAATATTTTTTGCATCACTTGGACCTGGCCTTGTCTTGGTTGCATAGATTGTTACGGATGATATTTGCGTGTTTTAGATCAGAACAATGACGATAACCTTATCTGTAAAGAATAAAGTTGTGCTATTAGTTGTAAATTGAAAAGGTCCATTAATTGTGCCATTATATTAGGTAATGAAATATGCAAGGTTGATTTAGGCAAGTATTTGCTTGAAGGACAAATATGTTATCTTCACTCGTATTTAAATTTAGAGTAAATTATGTTTTGTGATACTGTTGTTTGTTAAAAATTATAGGTTCTTGTGGTTTTAAATTTTCGGTTTTCATCCTTATAATTTACAATTCATTTCTATTTTCATCTCTGAGACCAAAACATTACTTTTAAGTATGAAGAAAGTAAAAATGAATTGTAAACAATAGGGGGGGGGGGGAAATTAAATCATAAAGACAGAAAAGGTAATGAATTATAAACTATAAGAATGAAAATTGTAATTTTAAAATCATAAGTACAAAAATAGAAATTTTATATAAACTATAGGGACACATGCCACAGTATGCTCTACATTGGGTCCCTCCCTGCCCCCACCCCATGGAACAATGTCGAACAACTTATATTTTACCAAGATACCCTCAAAGTAAAACATAGTTCTCTTATAAAACATTAAATACATCTCCTTATTTACATTTTATTTATTCTTTAAATTTTATTTATCGTATTTTTATTCTTTTTAAACTTTTCAGTTTAATATCCTTAAATTGTTATTATTATTTTGCTTAACTTATGTAATTTATTAATTATTAATAATAAAAAATACTATACAAAATAAGAATTGAAAATTAATAAACTTCATATTTTGATGTTATTTCAATTGTATTAAAGAAAACTTTACAATAATATATATTATTATAGTCTAATAAATTACATAACTTAATCAAAATATAAAAAAATATATAAACAACTCATTAAAGGTAAATTAGTCATTTTACCAGTTCTATTCTATCCAATCTTATCTTATCAAA